TATTATGCAATACAAATGGAACAACGCATTAATCTTACCGATAAACTTCGGGATCTGATTCTCTTGCTCGTGTTAATTGCATACATTCCATCCATTTTTCATGGTTCTTTATTACAGCATCTATGTTGAAGGAAGAACCCCTGACATATTAAACTTCTGTCATTTCTGCAGTTTTTTGAAAAAAATTCTAAAATGATCATTTCGTGCCAAATCAAAAACATAGGAACTGAGAACCAGCAATAGAGATACTGATATAATCGAGTTCATTCATACAATACAATATGTTGATCTAATAACAGCAAATACGATCTGAATAAGAATGGCTTAATAACCTCTTGCTGCTCTGAATTGAAGCACGTTTACTAGAGCAATATGGAGACTTTCTCAAATATGAACAAATATTTCGTGGGTAAATCATCGCCACATCTGATAAAAAATGATAGCAAGTGAATAAATTCTGATAAAAACCCGATAAAAAATAAGCAAAAAACATATACAGTCGTGACCGAGTTAAATTACTCACATTATGAAGCCAGATAATCCGAAACTTAGATTGGAAAATTACATAGCCACAAGAATAATTATAAACATAGCAGTTTGTCCCTACCTTCCAAGATGATAAAGGTTACCAATTATCTACATATCTGTTTTGTCCCTACCTTCCAAGATGATAAAGGTTACCAATTATCTACATATCTGTTCCTTGCCTACAAATTCCAATTCTCCAACAACGATGATCTTAACAAACTTCAAGTTCTTAATTAGAAAATTAAATCCATCAGCCGGATGATTAAACTACGATCGGAAAATTCTGGCCCTCTGTTTTATCACTCCGTCAAATATGTATGCATCCAACATCAGTCCATTATGTAATATATTGAGATACTAATTTTTATTAATATGAAGCAATAACAATTAATCCACGCATCATAGTAAGAAGCAAAAAGTACAACAATAGCCAAAAGTCCAAATTAATGCAATATCAAATTTATTGACCTAAAATAGTCCAGTGTTTCTCTTTACATGTACTATTTCAGCCAAATGCTTTTATCTTCGATTTTTCATACTTGTGTTACAAGGAACAAGCTGTTCCATTAGTTTTTTCTTTCTTTTTTTTAAATAATACAACTGATTTATTTCAAAAATTTATTGAATCATTCTGATTAGTTAATTTAAAAACAAAATAGTTCATCTGTTTAAAGATCAATGCATAGTCATACTTTATTTACAGCATAGCAACACCAGCAAATGTATTTCCCTGAAATATTCTAGAACAAAGGTCAATGCATCATCGCAATACAACGCCATAATTTTCAACCATTTTTTGTCTGATTTTCAAATGAACTTGATTCACCTGCTCTTTTGTTAAAGCTTCTTCATAGCTTCGATACACCAAACGATAGGTTTGACTAGTTTTTTTCGTTCTTGGGTGTTCGAATGTATCGGTTATTTTGACCTAAAGCGAGTTAAATTTTATATGAAACTATCAAACTTTTATGTAAGTAGAAAAATGTACTAAACAAAAGTTAATAAACAAATCACCAATAGAGTTATCAGTTTTTCCTTACTTCCATATAGCATACCTGCTCAATAAGTTGATCACCTACGGAACGTATTAAATCGCATGTTTCAGCAGCCATCTCTTTGGGACCAACACCTTCTGGAAGCCAAAATGATAGATCATAGAGCACTTGAGGATGAATACTAACGGGCACATATTTGAAATTTTCATCGGGAGATTTTCCAGCAAACTGTGTCAAGAAACCCGAATCACGGCTCCAAAATAGTCGGATATCCGAAATCCCGTATAAAATCTGTAGAGAATGAAACTTATTATCCCAGGCAAAAATATACCAGAAGTTAAAAGTTTCGCGATTCTTTTTAAGAAATAAATAAGAACATTCTGCCAAAGTCCAAAGCAGTACATTACCAATCATTTCATCAAAATGAATTGCGTGCCACACAATACAATCAATAAATAACTTTCAGTCACAAAAAGTATTTCACAAAAAAGATTATGATTTACCATTGCAAGTCTTTCAAGACCCAGGCCAAATGCCCAACCAACTTTATCCACAATGCCAGCCATTCTCAAAAGATCCTGCTCTATAATACCACAACCGAGAATCTCTATCCATCTTTTTTCGTAATAAACTTCAAGTTCAAATGATGGATATGTGAATGGGAAATCTGCATTGACCCACCTCATGTCATAATTAATGCCGAATATGTGATGACACAAAGTCTCCAAAGTTGCCTTAAATGCATCGTCATAAATACTTATGAATAAAGCACAGGTAGCAAGATATGCCTCATGATTTCATGCTTTCACTACAGAATTAAAATTCATTAAATGAACTGATACAACACCAAATATTCTCCTTATGATTTTTACTAGCCACTGAAACCTTTAAGTCCTTAATTAAGCACTCTGCGACATCTTTTGTATGTTGTCCCTGCTTCTTTGAAGTTCTTCTGTCGTTTGCAAAAAGTGATTTCTGAAATTCTTTGCACTGATCTATTTATTTTTCCTTCACAATAATATTTTATGAGACAGGCAGAACATAAAAGGCCTTTAATCAAAAAAGAAATAAGGATTTTGATTTTCGATTTATGTATATGTATAAAAATTCTACAATACAATTTTAAACAAATACCGTAACATATTACCGGATCTCGTTTCAGTGAACCGTCAAATAGCTCAGCAGCGGTAAATAAACGGACGCCTTCTATTTGGTGAAAACAAGGGAAATGGAGGCTGTCAATTGCATCACGTCGGTATACATCACCAATCACAAGAAAGTTATCCAGGCCTAAAAGCTAAAAATCATTAATCTGCAGTCGAGCTTCAACAAAAAAATGAATTTTGTAAGAATGAAATTGAAGCAACTAAAGTGCAGGAAAAATTAAGAAACGAATAAAGCATAATAGAAAGATTAAAATAAACAAGACTTGGATGTTTCTACTATCTTGATAAAAATTTGGAAGATCACATATTTACTCAGGTTGAAAAGAATTACGACAAACCTTGACTAATCAAAGAATGTTGATGCGCCGATGTATGCGCTCTTAAGCAGTAATCTTTATTGATGTAATAAGTGTCCTGAATACTCCGACTGACATGATTTGCAGGTACAAGCAAGGAATCAAAATTATCAAATATAGAAACTACTCGTGGTTGATTATCAATCACTGCAAATTGCGGAGACATTCCACCTAAACTTTTCCATGATGATAAGAAATCAGTTAATCGTCAAACTGCCTATAATTATCTTCTTTTTTGTGCTAGTTTTCTTCTTTACTGTTTTATGTGCAAAGAATCCCCGTTGACCTTAATAATCAATATGAACTTAACAGTGTTTATCAATGTACTATTAGAATATCTGTAACTCCACCTTTCACTTGATATTTTCCATAAATGAAATTGACAATGCGTTGTTTGAGTAAACAGAGTGGATTATCAGCTTCGAAAAGCAAACGTCTCTGTAATGTTCGCAAAACAGCAGGTGATAAATTCCATTTTTCATCTGGAGATAACGAAATTCCTGGAAACAATATAATACATTAAATTTATTCTCAAATAATAGCTGAATGGTCAATATTTTTCTTTCCATTTCATATAAGTCCGACCATTCACATACACTAACTATACGATTCAGCAAATTAAGTTAAAAAAAAAAGAAAAAACTTAAAATCAGAAGTTAAAAAACTTGCCATCAAGTTCAAAATTTTGCGGTGGGGTAGACCGCAGTCTACTTGTTCTTGCTAGCCGAGAACAAATGAAGCTCCGTTTACACAAACGCGAAAGATACACCGATTTTAAGCGCATATGCTATATAAGTAGTTGATTTATTAAGTTAACAACAGATCGATCTCCAAAAAAATGCTGCTCAAATGCAACTACTACCACCTGCTACATGGAGTGCTTCCTATGTAAAAGACGACGCAAAATGAGGCCTTTTACATACCGAATATATAACGAAATGAGTAAATTATCTCGCTAAACCCTCTCAGAAGCAATTCCCGACACAACTACCCCAGAAACTATACCGAACAAAATGCACTGTTACGAACCAAACCACAATTCAGCGGAACATTTCACGAAATGACTTGCCAACTGCACGGGACATTTCACGATCTAATTTTATGCATGGTTTCTGCAAAAAACTATACGAAACAACTTATAAATTGCATGAGATACTTATAACTTACGTGTTTTACGTGAAAACCAGAGGGCATTCTTTCAGAAATCAACCACGCTATTAGTAATTTTTTAACAAAAAAAGACCAATCTTTGTTATGCTGTGCACTCCTGTTATTAGCACTATTTTCCACATTTCTTCTATCCAACCCACTCTGAATTGAATGCAAGTCAATGGATAGTAAGTGTATAAGGGAACACAGGAGTCTTGTCTGTTCATTCCGATGAACATATACTAAAATTGGAACAATACAGAGAAGATTAGCATGGCCCCTGCGCAAGGATGACACGCAAATTCGTGAAGCGTTCCAAATTTTTTCGCCTTTTTCACGACGTGGAGTGACAGATGGTGTTGTATGCGTTGTGCTAAATCTTTCCTGTGCATATACGCTCTATGATTAAATTTTTTCGTTTATTTTATTAAAAGCTTTTTGATGAGTTCGTACAGTAACGCTTTGTAATATAACTTACTTAATCACGGATATTTGACATTGATAATTTTGTTCAATGAAACTTGATTCAACAGATATTTCTACATTTACCGTGCGCATAAAATCTTGATAGTATCGAATTGTTTAGGCAAAAGACCAATTCATTTTGTGGTCATGAGTCTCCATGTTTTGCATCTAAATGTTTGCATATTTCGTTGCATAAATTTAAATTCAAATATTTTATGCAGGAAGTTCTGATTCTTTTTATTGCAGCACTAACTTTTTCTGGGATTTTGTATATTATTTCTTGCCGACCCGTTTAATTCCACCATTGATAGTACAGTCAGTCAGGTGATAATTTTTAAATGATGAATTCTTTCTCTTGGGAGATACAGGAGGATCGTTTCGATGATGTTGAGTCGGAAATGGACGAAAAGTTATCCGCCTACGAAGACGATCTTTACATTGATGGTCAGTTGTATATTAAATTTATTTTTCAAGCTGATTAAATATGATGTAAATTGATGGCATGATTTTATAACTCAGGTTATTACAATATTACTGAATTATGTTTAAGATCGATTGAAAATAACACGTTAATCGTAAGTGTTATAGTACGTAATTTGTAGTTATCATCGTTAAAGTTCAATAACGGTGTTCTAAAAGTCTTCCTTTTTTCATGCAGGCTTCAATGTTTTCACTATTTTTTTTCTGTCGCCCAATACTTATGGTTACAGCAAATCTTTTTAATAATTTGTATTTTAGACCCCGGAATCGTCGAGCATGAAAAATTAGATGAAATAACGATTACAAATTATTCGCCACTGAGGCTGTCTACTATAGCGGAAGAATCAAATATTGTAGCAGAAGGTTATTATTTGTAAATATTTCTTTGGAGGGTCTTTCGATGTGTCAGTTTATCCTTTCAATTTTTCTGAGAACTGACAGAAGTCAGTTTTAGTTTTATTTTCACGTTATTTTATATCTAGATAACATATCCTTTTATTATTAAATGCTTTAAGGAAATGAAATTGGTGCTCGAAAAACTACGTATGTTGACTCAATCTTCGGACCTGGTTTAAGAGAAAAATTAAGTGGTGAAAATGAGGATGTAGTGGAGAGAAGTCCATCGTTTAAAAGAGGACGAGAAGGCAAATATTATTACCTTGATTACAAACTTCTGTATATAATTTGCCCACTTTTTTGTTAATAGATATTATTTTAGAAACATTATTAGGAAGCTGTCATTTCTGTAATTGTTTTTATAGTTTATCACTCTGAAATTTCAGAATTATGTAAGAATTCTCAATTTTTTTGTTCTAAGTCTATTGGAAAGGAAACGGTTAAGTTAGATTTAAAATTCATGTAAATAGGTGAAACTCGATCATATATTTATTCTTACTGACATAATTCATCGAAATGTTCATCACTACTTTAAGAATAATACCCACACTTTCTCAGTTTTACCACTCACTGTTTTTCTGTTCCAGTAATTCACTTTCATTATTTTTTTTTCAGCTCTTAACATGCTGCAGCATGATCAGGAATCATTTTGTAAGCAGCAGCAACAGTTGGTACAAGATGGTTTTGGTGTCGACAGGCCATGCCTGGAGAAAGAGAATAGTTGGGAGCCATCCATTCATTCTTCACTCCCACCATCACCAAAAATCTGCGTCAGTGAACTTGCTGCTTTCAGTATGTTTTCCTTATGAGTTGAAATCTATGAGTATTTAGTCATTAAAACAGTTTCTTTTTTTGTTAAACTTAGTGAAGTTTTTATTGTAAGTTTTGAATTCATAGCTTTAGCAACATAGAAGCTGTAAATGTAATAGCTGCGTAACTCTCATCTAATTCCTTATGTTTTGTACATTTTAACTTTTTCATGAACACAGAAAATATGTCTGACGCTACGGGGATAGGAGAATATGGGTCTCTGTCCTTCCCATTGAATTAATTTTCATCAAATGGTAGCTGAAACTGCCGCCGAACTAGTTACATACGAAAAAATAATTGATTTGCATGTTTTTAAAGGTTTTATGTTGGGAGTAATTATTTACTATTATCGTTTTTGCAAAAATGAAAAAAATGTGAGTCAACTAATAAACTTTTTTATTCAAAGACATGACAGATTCTCATTTGATACCCACCACATTGCCTCGAAAAGAAACAAATCAGGATATTAAAAGCACACCACCGGGTATTTCCTCGCACATGCGACGTTTGAAGAGAAAGAATGAACCAAAACAGAATTTTGGCGGACCCAAAATGTCTACTCCTAAATGTAAGTCTTGCATGTGTTTTCCTTTTCTTTAAGGGTTTTTAAGGTTTCCCAAATTACTAGAAATGAGAAGCGTGGATTAGAAAATAATTCTTTTTTTTTTCGATTTATTGAAAACAAAAGTTTTACAATATTGAAAGGAATATGAGCAATTTCAGCAGCAGAAACTTCGCTTCGAGCTTTAAGTATAAATTGCATCTCATCAATTTATCCGGAAACAACTTCGCCTCAATCGATTCGAGGAATGAATTTGAAATTCAGTGGTCCTTTCCCAGTGGCACGCAGAATGTCCATGGTCACGGAAGAACCATCGTTAAGCAGTTCTGCTATCGATAGAGTTCTTGAGGTTGCTGTTCAAATGAAGATTGCTTTAATTCTATTGATGTTATGAATAAAAAAGATATTATAAAATATTTTTTGCAGAAGGAAAATTTTGACAATGATGACGCACTCGTTGAAGCCTTGTTACAAGCTAAAACACGACCTCGTCTGAAACTGAATTTTCCCGAAGAGATTGTAGGAAAACGACCTGAAACAGATGGTTTATTTACATATTTGATGTTAGGTTTTTAGGCTTCAGTAAGTGTCTCTATTTTTACATTTGGAGAATTGGTCGCTACTGCTATTAGTTATTGAAAAACAGGGATTTTTTTATGCTTTTAGAAGTTTTAGAAATTTCTTATGAATAGGCAGAAAGAAATCAGAGTAAAAGAATGTGATCGAAATTTTTGATTTCAGTTTTATTTTTGAATGATTCTGTTAGTTTTTGTCACAAACCGATAATACGAGAGTAGTAAAAGGATTGTCTATGTTTACTAATGATATAATGTTGTTTTAGAACAAATAGAACTTTCTTTAAGAAGGCGTGAAGGATCAGCTGATGATTCTAATGCTAATGGTCATAACCAAATGAAAAATGGTTGGTATCAATCTTCTTTTTCGTTCAATCATGGTTGCATGAAAAAGTGGTTACATGAGTAAATCATATCTTTTACCCTTTCCTGTTTATATTCTTTCATTGAAATGCGTGTCTGAAATTAACTTAAATTTTACTTACTTTTATCAAAAATTCTTTAATTGAAAAAACATTCACTCTTTATATTGCATACTGCTATGATAACAATGATGTCATTAAATCTAAAATAAAATTTGAAATTTATTTCCTATTTCTAATCTTATCTAAATAATAATTTTTTGATAAGATTTTAAATTATAAGGATTTGAAAAGTCAGTACGTATAGCTTTCCTGATTGAGACTGGCATAAATATGAGATGTAATTTTTTTAGTAACTACCAGATATGACCGTTCGGGCATAACCAACAAAACGAAAAAGCTAAAAACTGTACAAGAGTTGAATTTATTGCGAGAGATTAGTAATACTGCAGAAGATTTGTCACAATCTGCAAAAACGAAGTGGAAAAGTGAGGCATGCAGTGATTGGTGAGTCATAGAGCATTAATATATCATTTTCCTATTTTTTTTCCATATTTCAGTTGGATCTATTATTCTCCGTTTTGAAAAAATTTCAAAAAATGTCCCTCTTTACGAACACTTTTTCTAACAAGTTTTGTAAAAATAGACATATGATGGTTTGATATTTAAAAGTGAAATCTGAAACTTTGAGGTCTGAATTTGAAATTTATTTGAAAATTCTCCTATTCAGAAGCTGAATTTGTTTCAGTAATTATAACGCCGAAGTTCTTTCTGAAGTACTGCAATGCCTGGTAATTAAATAAAATATCGGTTTAGTGCTCACTTTGAGTTTATTGTAGCTCGCTTCGACACATCGATGCGGAAAATCAAGGCAAATTCCTGTCATGTGATCAGTCTTTTGTTTATTTTGGATTTGTCGATGTCAAATGTCGTGTAAATAGATCAGTTAGATTGCGAAACATCAGCTCAAAATCATTGAATCTCAAGCTACAGTTGCATAGCATGAGTAGAGGATATGATGTATGTGTTTATAAATTTCAAATTTCCGGATTTTTTGTTTATTGTTTAATGATTACTCTATTGTAAGAACTAATAGATATTCTCAATCGTTTTATTAGTCCAAGTGGATTCCTGCTACTAAATTATATTTTTTTAGTTGTTGGAGCAGGGCATTATTGTGTTGAAGCCTCAAGAAATTCATTTGGTTCATGTCATATTTCAACCTCCCTTTGGAGCTTGTTTTCAAAATACTCTAACTATCAGAGTTCTCAACGCAGAGCATATTAATTATTCCGTGAGTGCTTATTTACCTCTGCAACATCAAGACTTGTCTAAGATTCAAAATGGAAGGAAATCAATAATTTACTTGGATTTATTAAAATTTTTAGATCCCTTTGCTCGGTAGTGGTGGTATTGCTGCTTTACGCATTTTAACACAATCTGGACTCACTATGCTGCGTGATGGCTCATTTGTTCTGACAGCTCAAGGAGTTACAAATATTTGTTTCGATGTTGAAAATAGGGGTCTAAGGTAGTCTATAGTAATCTTTTTTCTATTTTTCCTTTAACTATTGTCTATTTTTAACACTGTTTCTTGTCCAAGTTGATTCTAACCCCACTTCCTTGTGAGTAGTAATTTATGAATCCGTGATTTATAATTCTAATGGTACAGTCTTCGTTCATTTAAATTGTTTTCAGTTATATTAGTCATTCTTGTTTCTTCTTACAATTATTACTACATATTTTGGTCGAAGGTTGACTTTTAACAATATTTTTTTCTAGAACTAAAAGTACCAAAACCTTTCTTATTTGTAATTTGCTGAAACATCCTGTTTTTCTTTATTTCCAGAGATGCATTTGTGCGGGTGGTTGTAGTAAATAAAGAGACAAAAAAAGCTATCAGTGGATGCACTATTGCGCCATCTGACTGTGTTTCCATCTTGCATCGCAGCAAACAAGTAACTCTTACAAACTCTTCCTTGAAATTCTCTCTGAACACAATTTTAAATAATAATGGATATATTTCTATAGTTCTCTCCTGTAGTCAGTTTATTATGGAAGGAAATTTATTAAATTTGCAGAAGTTTAGTATTGAGGTTCCTTCCCTCTGTGGCGAAGAAAACAATGGTAATTCAAATCCCTCATTTCCTTTCTCTTCGTTTTCAATGCCTTTAGTAGCAGGGAACACTCAATACTATGTTCAGCTGCTGTGGGGCGAAGAAGCACAAAGACGTCGACTTAAAAGGTAATCGAAAAAATTTGAAAAAAAATGTGATGAAAATGTTTCAATTTTTCTCCATTCAGTTTTTCTTAGTCTGTTAGTCCTATTTGTTTATTTGCAACAAATATCTAAGTTGAAAATTTTCAGATATGAAAATATGAAATGTGCGAATTTTGCTTTCAATGGGCTTACTTTTACGAAATGTAAATTCATAAATGAAATGGAATGTAAATCTACAGCTTCCGAAGATGCTTTTTATGGTCCTTATGATCGTGATGCCTTCGAATTGGGATTGAGAATAACTTTGATATCGGTATTTTAAATGCTTTCCTTTTTTGAGTTGAAAAAAAAACGAAAAAAAAAAAACTAGGAAGCTACAACTTCATTCCAAAATGAAAGATTGGAGATAAAAAAAGGATTAGATTTAAATGAGAATGAAAGTAACTTTATTAAAATGATTTTAGGTTGTGGATAATCGGCTTTCCTTGTTATCCCGGAATAGTTGTCTTCCGCATAGGGAAATCCATACTGAAAGTGTCATTCTCGAACCAAATGCAGCCTTGTCACCAACAGTTGGCAACAAAAGTGTTGTGGAGGACGTTTCTACCATTTTTACTGCTAGTCGTGTGTTATAAATTTGTGAACTTACTGCATATTTACGTGCTTGCTTTCACTGAATTTTAATCACCTTAGTTACTCTATTTCGTTTCATTCTACAAAGCATCAGTATACCATAAATTACTTATTTAGTCGTGCTGTACATCAGTTATCTGTTGATCTTTAGTTTATACTTATATATTCATTTATTAAATGCACGCATATATGTATATGTGTATACGACACTATGACCCAAACCTTGTTGTCGTTTTCTCCCAACAAAAAATCGGAGTTGCAGGTTGCCACATCTTTTCATCATCCATCCGAATCAGCCCACTTTTATCCAATAATTTGCCCACGTTTTCAAGAATTGTTCAAGTTTGGGAAAGGATACATTCATCGAGATATAATCGAGATTAGATTCTGAGTTAATCACAATGTGCAATGTTGATGCATGAGATGTCATGTCATGTCATGTCATCCACATCACAGTGGATCACCATCATTACTGAGCGAAACAATCCGGTATTGCTCTGGTTGAGCGCCAACCCCCTCCGTTCCTTCAAATCCTTCCCAAAATCCATCCTCCAATCCGCAAAGCGAAAACCATTTTGGCTGATTACTGAAGTCTCTGGAATGCCGGCATCATTCGTCACCACTCTTCTCTTTTCCTTCTCTGTGTCAATTTCGCTCAGATCCTCCAATGCCCAGGTTATATTCATATTATAATCTCTTATTGAATCCTTATTCCTTCTCTTTCTCCTACCCATCCCTACTTCTTCCTTTCACTTTCACGCATCGGCGCACAAAAATTTTTCACACTATTTTAATTTTTTGGACTGATCGTTGGAACTGATTTGAGTTATTGAAACATTTCCAGTCAGATTAGAATCAATTTAAGCTAAATATGATAATTAAATTTGTTTCTGGGAAGATTACATGGACTTTGTTTTTGTTCGAGATATCATTCAACTCAGAATTGGATTAATACATCATTTTCTGATTAAGAATTCCACAAGCCACCATTCGTCAACAACAACAAAAAAAGCTATCTCGTGAAATTTTCACACATATCTGAATTCCTGGCTTTTTCTCAATTTTGTTTTCTAAAATGGTGGGATTGATGGGCAGTCGGTATCCAAAAAGAGAATGTTAATGCAATTATAATGCAGTTTTATGGCATTTGGATGGTGGCATTTATCAATACTACTCAAAATGCTTACTAAACTCTTGAATTAAATGACTTTTTCCCATACGACCCTGGAACTCAAACTAACATGAACATAAATGAAGTGATAAGTAATCGCGCAATAGAGATTTTGGGCAGTAATTTGGGTAGTAAATTTCCAGTACATCCAAACGATCACGGTCAGTCATCAAATGATACTTTTCCAACAGCAATATTGGCAAGGTGCCAATAAGAGATCAGCGTTTGAGACAAATCGCAGCAATTGTCGATTCAGAAAAGGTAATCTACAATCAGCTAGAAGTCGTGGATATTGCAGGTCTGGTAAAGGGTGCGAGTGTGCAATATGCAGGAGACATAACGTATTTTTTCACACAGATGCTGCTCAAAGTTTTGGAAAAGTTCCAGTAGATGTAAATGGAATGAACATTGATCTCATGAGTTTTACTAGCCACAAAGTTTATGGATCTATGGGAAACTCTTCAATCTTAACATCAGAACCATTTATTTGATTGACAAATGAGCTATTAGCTCCGTTTTCAAGAAGGCGTCTAATAAGGTATGGCAATAAATCACTATGTTTACCAACCGGTGCATATATACGACAATCGATACTTGTTGCAAGTTCTGACATTGCATAATCATATAAATTCTTACCTATTCCGTGTAAGCGTTGGAACTCAAATCCAGGATGATTTTTATCAGCGAGCTCTACTATAGTAGCAAAAGTATAAGCATTATGAGTTCCAAAGCATGGATAAAAGTGACTTGCCTTACTCAAAAGTTTCCGCGCACAGGCAAGGTAGCATACATCAGTGTAGCTTTTTCTAGTAAACACTGGGTAACTACTTAACCCCAACTCTTGCGTGCGCTTGATTTCTGAGTCCCAATATGCTCCTTTCACAAGTCTTACCATAATTTTATGCTTTGATCGAATAGCAACATCCTCAACAAAGTCAAGAACAGACAAAGCACGTTTTTGATACGCTTGCACAGCTAAGCCAAGTCCTTCCCACTGTGAAAGTGACTCATCAAGACGCAATTGCTCGAATAAAACTAATGACATCTCAAGTCTTTCTGACTCTTCTGCATCTATACATAATGAAATATTGTACTTTTTTGCTTCATGACAAAGTTCCAATATCTTAGTCTTCAGCTCTCCGGCTATATTACCGAATTGACAGAATTCATAACGTGGATGCAACGAAGAAAACTTGATTGAAATTCCATGTGACTTAAAACAATCGCTTGTATCAGTGGATTCACCTATAGCTTTTATTGAATGCATATATGAATTAAAATATTCTTCAGCATTCTTAGCTGTGTGAGCGGCTTCACCAAGTATACTAAAAGAGCATAAAAATTTGCTATGGCTATCCGACCTTATACTCTCCAATGCTTCTTCTATAGTTTCTCCAACAATAAAGTGCTTACCAAGCATCAGCATCGCCTGCTTCACTGCCTTGCGGATTATTGGCTCTCCAAAATTTTTGAGTAGTTTAGAAATTACGTGATAGAATCTCGGACCTTCTTCATTGCCTCTTAATACACTACTTCCTATCATCAAGCTCCACGTAGAAGCATTAACAAACAATGAAGAAGAACGCCCTAAGTGTTTACTCCATTCTTGATTGGCAATTTTATCTTTGATTAGTTCGTCTATCGTATAATCATCTGGTATTCTAAGTAGTGACTCAGCAAGACACATTAGTGCTACTCCTTCGTCACTAGAAAGCAAGTACTGCTGCATAAAAGAATCTATGACATCTAATTTGCTGCCTTTAATTTTTTCAACAACTTGTTTTGCAATATTGTAAATCCTATTTTTCGAATCAGCAGAAAGCTCTATTTTTTCTACAAGATAACGTGCATAGCTTTTTTCATCAGTACGATAAAACCTCTGCAAACGTTTTCTTAATTCGTTAGGTTCTTGTATAGAGCTGATCATATATAATTATCTACAAAACACCTTTACCATATGTAAGGTAGAATTATACCATAACCTCGCGTAGAATAAATTATTATTTATATAAAGGGCTAGGATCCACTTGATTCTAAGTTGCTCACATCAAATGGCTTTAATATATGATCATGTGTGGATGTTGTGTAGGCAAGCAAGTACGGTTTTGAAATTCCATCTGTAACAGAGGCTACAAGTGAATGTATAGGTTTTATTGTGGCTACAATTTTTAAATTGGATGAAAGGGCAATATTATAGTATAGTGTAAATAAAAGTAATAGAAAAAAAGCTAGTAAATGTCTCATGAAAGCATTGAGAAAAATTTAAATTTTGTCAAAAAGTTAAATAATGTCAATGACAGTGTCCTAAAAATAGAAAATCTTGCTCTGGCATACAATAATAAAGAGGTTCTCGATGGTATTAATATATCAATAGAAAAGGGAGATATAGTTACCATACTTGGCCCAAATGGTGGAGGTAAAACTCCTTTGATGAAGATGGTTGCTGGTATAAGTAAGAATTATACAGGTAGCGTTATATTTGCTGATAATATAAAAATTAGCTACATGCCACAAAATTTTAGCATTAGTAAATTGATGCCAATAACAGTTGAGTATTTCCTCTTAAATAGTTTTTCAAAAAAATTGAAGAAAAATCAATCGGTTATTACGGAAGTGATAGAATTAGTTGGTATTGGCAATATTTTGAAAAATCAAGTATTAGAGATTTCTGCAGGACAGATGCAATTATTACTACTTGCACACTGTTTAATTGCAGAGCCTGACTTGATTATTCTAGATGAGCCGGTTAGTGAGATGGACATTAACGCACGTGCTAAGTTTTACGATATTATAGGAGAAATAGCAAAAAAACGACTAATTTCGATCCTTATGACGTCTCATGATTTAAGCTCCATTGTACCATGTTCAGATTATATTATTTGTATAAATCATACTATCTATTGCCAAGGTAAGCCTGGTAAAATTATGGAGGATAGAACTCTAAAAGAGATATTTAGCAGTTACATAGAAAAATGATTCAAAGTATTCTGCGCCTTTTGTATATAACTGCAGTACTAACTCGTTATAACATATCACCTTATTTACTTTCTCCATCAAGGAAATCAATAAATAGAATACGAGGCTATAAACTAAAATGTGCTTTTGAGAAATTAGGTCCAGTATTTATTAAGTTTGGGCAATCTATCTCGTCACGTACTGATATTTTGAATGAGGATATAACGAATAATTTATTGTTGATATGTGATAAATTGCCCTCTTTTTCACACAAGATAGCAGTTAAAACTATAGAGAGCGAATTTAATTGTAAGTTAAGTGACATTTTTTCAAGTTTTTCTGAAAAACCAATTGCAGCAGCATCAATTTCTCAAGCTCATAAGGCAACTACAACAGAAGGTAAAGAAGTTGCTGTAAAAATTTTAAGGCCAAATATTGAAAAAACATTTTCAAAAGATATCAAAATGCTTTTTTGGCTTGCGGGGATTGTAGAAAAGTTTAGCAAGCAATCAAGGAGGCTAAAGCCAATTGAGTTAGTTGAAACTTTTGCTGAAATTTGCTGATTAGAGGTAGATCTACGCTTTGAAGCTGCTCACTCTTCGGAGCTTAGGGAAAATACAAAAAACGACAGAGGTTTTTATGTTCCTGAAGTGAACTGGAGTAGAACTTCAAAAAGGGTTTTAACATTGGAGTGGATAGGGGCAACACCAGTATATGAAGTTGAAAAACTAAATAATCATAAGCAAATAGCTATTAATCTTATAGAGTCGTTTTGTAATCAAGTATATAGAGATTGTTTCTTTCACGCGGATATGCATCCTGGCAATCTAATGATCGATAGTAACAACAGTATTGTCGATTTAGATTATGGAATTATGGGCCGAATAGACCGAGAAACATGTTACTATGTAATAGAGATACTGAAAGGCTTTTAAAGCTGGTTATGTTTCGCCGCAGCATAAAAGTTTTGTTACAGCGTGCAGGGCAATAGGTGAACCTATTATAGGGCAGCCCATATAGAAAATTTCTTTTGCTAGTTTACTTGCTCAATTGTTAAAAATAACTGATGATTTTGATATGAAAGTTCAAACGCAATTATTACTTCTGCAAAAAACTATGATTTTGCTAGAGGGAACTTGTAGAAAAATCTACCCAGAAATTAATGTGTGGAAGGTGGTTGAAGCATGGACGGAAAATCAACATAAAAATAAAATAAGCTATAAAGAGAGAATAAAGAGCTCTTGCCCCGTAAAGACAATTCAAGAAATTTTTAACCTTATAGAAAAATTAAACCTAATAGCTAATCAGAAACTAGAAAATATTCAAATTAAGGATAGATCAAATGGAAAAATCTACTTTTTACTGTGGTCTGTGGTCATAGCGCTAATCGTTAAGCTTTTGATTTTTTTGTGATAGACTTCTTGCATGACTGCTACTTACATAAAAAACATTGGCCATCCCTTAATGTCATTCTAGTGCTTAATGCTGGGACCATGCAGCTAACATGATAGTCTACCTAGTAATGAAGGGTGTAAGTTTAAAAAGTTAATCAATTATGGGAAGGTTTTATTTATGTACCTCAGTTTTTCTTTATATTTTATTCTCAAATTAATTACTATTAACTGAATGTAAAAGGGAAGTTTATTTTGGAACTGTAAGGTTTTGAGGTGAAGCAAGCAATGATATCAAAAGCTGGTAGTCGTTTAGAAATTGCTTTGTCACTTGCTGTCAAACTTGTTGCACAGCAGTTTCCAAAGTGGGCTATTTAGAGGTTAAACATGTTGAGTCCAGTCGCATAGACAATTGAACCTTTCGCTTATGTGAAGAAATATTGATCAGGGCTACCAAATGCAGAAAATTGTGCACTACGAGTTCTAACGGAGCAAAAACGGCTCAAGATACTTGCACTGCATTTATCATTTTCTGTTCCTGAACTGCTTGGAGTGGGGCAACCATCGAAACATTATCTTTAGAATTGGTTAATGTACAGGTAGATTGAAGGGAGAAAAGCATAAATAAAGTGTCTATAGGTGATCTGAATTTACAGGTTATTGCTTTTCAACTTGCACAGTTTTTGAACGAATTATGTGGGATTGATGTTAGAGGAGGCCCTAGTCCTGGGTTTCATAACTACTAGCGTGTTGACCACATATCAATCTATAATGCAGAAAAATCGGCAATTATAGAGTTGCAAGGTTTTATTGACACAAAACCATAACATCTGTTTTGAAAAAGGCTGTAAGCTCAGAATGAAACAAGAACTCAGTATGGAAACATGGTGATTTTGCAATTGGGAATATCTTAATAAAATATGGGTGTATAGCTGCTGTGATTGATTTTGAATGTACGGGTGCTGGTGATCCAGCTTGTGATCTAGTCGTTGTGTGGAATTTTTTTTAAAAAATGTGAGTCGCAGAATTTTCAAATCACATCTATGTTTAAATTCAAATACATGGCCTAGAGCATATGGTTGTGCTTTATGGAAGGCTCTCGTTACAACTACACTAATTAAAAATAAGGACAGCCCAGAAATAAAGGAAAATTATTGATGAAATTCTAATTGGTTAATGTTAATTCAATTTTAAGTAAAAATTCCATCTTCTTTCTCCTCAAACACGAGTATCGTAGAACAATTCTATTCGAAAATAAGCCACCATCAAATGATAAAAATGAAGTACCTCGAAAAGTACCTATAGGATCAGGATAATCAAAATTTAATACTAGCATAATCTTCTACTAGAAGTAAATCTTTTTCAGATTGTAAGACTCTTGAAAAACATCGAAAATTTTTTGACAGCTTCAGTTACTGATTCTCTACCATCATAGTTAAAGGAGGACCTATAAAGTCGACATTAGGATGCACATATGAGATCATATAATCAAGATTTTTGTTATGCATAGTATAGTAAGATTCTGCTTTATTCAGATTTTGGTCGACCATATTATCTCCACACTACAATACATATATGGTATTTGAGCCATATGTAAAGTCAAGGTTGAATTATATATAGCTAAAGGTTTTATCAAGGAAATAAAAAAGCGTATAGTTCTGGAGAGTATAATAGTAATAGGCTAGTGTAATAGGTTGGGCCTTTTGTTATTGCTGGAAGTGATTGTATTGTTTAAGTTTTAGTAATATATACTGCTAAGTTAAGAACTCTACTAAAAGAAGTGAAAATCGTTATGGTTATTGTGATCACAGCCCAACTAATGGATCGTAAGGTCATAATTTCACTTTCCATATCTTTCCAGTTGTTTTATATATAATTCCCGAATTTAAAAAATTTGTTCCATATTGTACGATATGTTTGAATTGTTGATTAACCAGTTCTTGATAAATTGTTTGTGCTTTTCTGCTGTAAGTTCCAAGATGTTTGGGTTCAATTTTCTCTTCCTCTATCAGTTCTAGTGATATGCTCTTTTCTGGAAAAGTTATATCAATAAATCCGACTTTTATAATGAAGGTAACAATGCATTTCCGAAATCTGTAGTAAGTTATACTCATTTAAAACTTAAGAAATTTTTGGCGTATTTAACTTGTTCATCATAAAAACAGCTAAATGTAGTGGTACATCGATTTCGTATTTGCAACCTAACTTATAAATCAGCACATGTTTTATACTACATGTTCCTCATTTTTCATTGAGTACTAATATATAACATGTGCGGTCAAGATTACGTCCATAAGGCAGCCCATGCACATATTTTAATACGAAATGTAATAATACTCAAAGTTAAAAAAGATTTGATATGGACATGGTGGACCATGGGAAGACAACATAGATAAGGCATCAGAAGAGAGGAAAAGAGGAATAACGATTGCAACAGTACATGTTGAATATCAAACAGAGAAGAGACATTATGCACATGTTGATTGTCCTGGGCACGCTGACTATGTGAAGAACATGATAGTAGGTGCAGCGCAGATGGATGCGGCGATATTGGTAGTATCGGGAGTTGATGGACCTATGCCGCAAACGAGAGAGCACATATTACTGGCGAAGCAAGTTGGTGTTGGGTATATTGTAGTATATATAAATAAAGCTGATGTATCCGATCCTGATATGATAGGTTTGGTAGAAATGGAAGTGAGAGAATTGCTGAGTAAATATGGGTTTCCAGGTGATGAAGTTCCAGTGGTAATTGGATCTGCATTGAAAGCGCTGGAGGATGATGAAGGTGAATATGGGAAGAAGTCAATAGACAAATTAATGGAGAGGTTGGATGACTATGTAGAAGTGCCACCAAGATCTGTAGATTTACCGTTCCTATTGCCGATTGAAGATGTATTTTCGATATCGGGACGTGGAACGGTAGTAACAGGAAGAATAGAAAAAGGGGAGATAAAGATAGGTAATGAGATAAAGATAATAGGTCTGAAAGCTACACAGAAGACAACATGCACTGGTGTGGAAATGTTTAAGAAATTGCTAGAAAAAGGAAGTGCAGGGTTAAATGTGGGGATATTGCTAAGAGGGACGAAGAGGGAAGAAGTAGAGAGTATTAGCAAAACCAGGCTTTTGAGTGGAGCTAACACCGCTACTGTCATTCCAATATCTTCTCCTATTACCCCAGTACTTAAGACCGGAATCTCAGCGTCACATATGCAACTATATGAATGTTATAATATAAGGGTAACTTTCATCACAAAGGATGTGTCATCTCAGTGCCCAGACACACAGCCATACAAACATTATGGCTTAAAAGCAACCTCCACCAGAAAGGGTATCATTCCAGTTCTTCTTTCTTGTCACGCCTGCAATCGGAGGCAAAATAAGGTGCTATTACTCCTCCGTGATGTCGTTAATTGGTTTGATGATGTTCATAGTGCAAAAGTTAAAAAATAAGAAGCCAGCCCCGTTATACACAGCAGTTATAGCTATAACAAAAGTAGCGAAGGTGTTTATTTATCCTCAACCTGTACAGATTAAACGACAAGAGTATAACCTGACCTCTCAATGCACGTGCTTTACTGCTAGGCGTGACACTATTATTTAGTAAATTTATTTACTACTTCTATCATCCTATGGTCTTTTAGTGTGAGAAGCAAGCGTCATGGCCGGGAATCTGGAGCAGGTGGGGCCGGAAAACAGCTGACAGCGCTTTTAAACCCTCAATCAGATGATAAAAATGCAGAACGAGGAGACCGGAAGCGGCCCTATGCACTGGCTTACTTCCATAAGCATTTTCAACGTTAATGATTTTTTTGGTTAAGATAAAGGACTGGTCATGTATTTTAGAGAGGAAGGAAATGAAGGTAAAATTAAGAAGATCAAAAGTGTACTGGAAGACCACGAGGTCGCTTATACTGCTGGTTGCAATATTTATTTCACCTTTAACCTCATCATTCCATTTGACAACTTCATTCCTATCCAACTTAAATCTAAAATGTGGTTTTCGTCCTTCTTGCTCATAACAAAATTTTTCCTGTTCAGTGAGAAGTAATGCACTCTTATCATATACCGGAGGAAGCCCATGTTTTAACTGCAATTTTCGTTTAATGTCTAATTCTTCTTTTGTTTCATAGCATGCATAAATGTGCCCTTCTTTTATTAACTGCAGAAATTCTTTTAGATTGGAGTTTATTATGTTCTTAATGCTCTTGTTAGTAATACCACGACATAATTGATAAACTGGTTCTACACGAGAGCACAATATAGGCCTTAACATTTTAAAGAGGCAAATAGAATGTCAGCTTTTGTGAGACAAAATTATTGAAGTAAGAATTGTGCCATTTATTAACATAAGCGATAAGGAAGTAAACAACGCAAAAGGACAAATAGAAAAGCCGGATTATCTTATCACATTCCAAGAGTTTATAATTCCCAATCAGAAAGGTGCAGATGTTTACGGGTCAATAACATCAACGCCACTGACCAAGATAACAGGGCTTGCTTCACCTTTTTTTTCTGCATTTTGATCAACAATTTTTACATCTTTCTTAAAATTCTTCTTTACATCTCTAGCTTTCTGAGTTTCTGTACCCCTAGTCTTTGAACTCTCTACATTAGAATTCTTAGCATTTAAAGGTTTCGCTTTCTTTTCACTTGCTAGCTTCGTCTCCTTTCTTTTCTTCTCAGCTAGTTCCTCTTTCTTTTTCTCAGCTGCTAACTTGAGCTCCTCTTTCTTCTTAAGCTCTTCAGCTTTTTTTCTTGGATCAGCATTACATATCCTGCCCATTTTCTCTTTTAGCCTTTTGTTTGATGTCTTCATAACTTCCATTTTTTCAGAAGTTATGATTGACTTTATACCTTCATTAAAAGAGTCTCTTGCTTTTTTACTCCCTTCATACCTTCATTAAAAGAGTCAGCAGCAAAACCGCTGAAAGAACATAAAGTTAATAAAGAAGCTAGAGCAGTTCTAGTGTAAGTAAATTTTTTCATGAAGTGCCCCCAAAAAATTTCAAAATCATTATCTTAAACGTAAATAGTACAAAAACGTTGAAAACTCAACTTAAAGCAACCTTATAGCTAAAACAAAAACAAAATGCAATACCTCAAAAACAACTTTTTTTAATATCTCCAATATGTACGTTAACTAAAATTTAGCATAGAGGTTTTTCATTTGTCACCCATGTTATAACCCCAATATTCATTCCATGGAAGTAAAATTTTTCTATGATTAGACAATAAAATATTTTATTATTTACTAGAATAGTAATAATAGTTACTAACAGCAATATCAATTTATAGTATAGTTAAGTAATATTGTTTAGTTCTAAATGTATGGATTTTAGTTTCTCTCACAATTGATTTAGTACTGCAGGCAGTACAAATTCAAAAAATAACGATCGGATCACAGAATCTATAACAGAAAATGATGATGAGTTTGAGATTATTGATGAGTTTATAAGTCTTCGTGATTCAAATAAAATATATTCTTTATCTTCTTCTTACCAAGTAGATGAAAGTATTGTAGAAATTGCAGGGTTCAATTAAAGAGAAATTATTGAAATGGGTAATTTCTGTAAAATAATTTACGGTAATAACGATGAGGAACGATATTTGTTCGTTGACCAGTTTTTTTCATTTTTATTAAGGTTCTAGCAGTTCGGGAATGGCCTTCAAATTTTCACTTTTCAAAATGATCCCATTACAAATGGTCACAATACTAAAATGGCTTCGGTTTTATATTTAGATCGCTGTCAAACTTCAATAGAAGAAAACCACTTTATTGCTTGGGTATCTTTTTCACAATCCTGCCTTAGCTTTTGTCGTTTTTTGATGAAGAAATGAGCACGCTAAATAAAAGTGGCGCTTTTAACGTGAACGATTCCTGTGGTGGTGAACAGGTAATGGTCTTCTCATACCAAATACTTTATTCATTAATATATTGTTGCTACAGGTTTGCTTTTCGAAGTTTAATGACTCCCACTGGAGTATTATTTTAAAATCAAACAGCTTACGGTGTTGAAGAGGTAATGACCAAATCGACTGGGGCATTTGGGCTACTGGGATATGTCTTTTCATGTTGACCCCAGAAAAAGCAGAGGATTTTGTTGTCTGGTGCTGATGGACGGAAGTTATCTGATGTTGGGTGGTGGTGAAGTTGTTTCGAGTTGGGGGTTGGGTTCTTGTTGCTTGTGTACTCTGTGGTGCTGTTTATAAGAGTAGTCGTTGCTACTGATCTTTTATGTTTAATTTTAGGCTGGAAGGATGAGTCGATTGATTGTTAAAGGCTTGCCATCAAATTGCACCGAGGAAAAACTACGAAGTCACTTCAAAAGTTTCGGAAAAATCACTGACTGCTCACTAAAATACACCAGAGATGGGAAATTTCGTCGTTTTGCATTTGTTGGATTCGAAACGGATGAAAATGCTCAGAAAGCACGTGATAATCTGCACAATGCATTTATGGGAACATCACGATTGACCGTAAAAATTACCCGCTTTTCTTTTAAACTGTGTCAATGCTAAGATTTTCCGTAATGAACTTTTAGCGTTATCAAGATGTTAGTTTATTTCTTTGCTGAAGTCAGCATTATTTTAGAATTGAAAATCTATTGCTTAATTATGTTGTGATTTTGAAAAAGTATCTGTAGTTTAAAATTTCCCTAATGACATATTGCTTCACTCTTGCAATGAATTTGTTCTTTTATAGTCATTATGAAATTTTGCTTTTGTCAGGTAGAAGAGTGTAAGCCGTTCGGCGACGCGACAAAACCGAGGGCATGGAGTAAATACGCGAAGGGAAGCAGGTAATAGAGTAGTCAATTTAATTTATAAAATTTCTTTATCAAGACAGTTGACATGTGGTCTGTAAGGATATGGTTATTTTACTTTTATTTTTTTGCTTTCTGTCAATAAGTATTGATTTTTTTTGTAGTGCATATAAGCGTTTGCATCCTGAGGAAGAAGAGGAGAAAATGAAGAGAATCATTTCACTTAGAGGCAGTTCACCATTGGCCAAAAAAATAAGAAAGGAAAGCGATAAAGAATTTTATGATTTCATCGAAGTGCAAAAGGTTAATATTTTTTGGAGAGTTAGTATTAATCTTTTCCTGTTTTTAGTTGTAGTCAAAATAAATAATCATGAGTGTTGTGCGGTCTGACTTGCTACTGTAAGTAATTTTTGGAATTTGAGATTTCTTTACTATGTTTTATCTTGTTTTCAGAGCGCACTACCAATTGCAAGCAGTAGTAATGATGAAAGCAACAACAATCTCATAGAAGAATTGCTCACTGGAGTTAGTGGTAAATTTTTGGAATGGAAGAATAATGTATGGAATCCGCATGGATTTTTAGTATAACTAAAGTTTACAGCTCTATTTAATTTAGAGCAAACAAGATACTTGCTTTAAATACAACTGTCAAAGTTTCATTGTGATATGGATTCATTCAGTCCTTGAGACAGGAAAATATCACTTGAAATATGAATTTATATAATTTAACAACTCTTCAAAGTTGGTTATTAAAGAGTGGAAATATAATACTGAAAAAGTACTGTTTGCTTTATATTAAATGTTGAAAATACTTAACATCATGAAAATGCATTATCAGCTTTTATTATCTAATTGATCATAAAAATTTGTTATTTCATCATTTTCCTTTTTTACTATTTTCTGTAATACAATTGTTATAGGGGATACGTCATTATCGCTGATAATATGTGGTTTTCCGAAAACTGTAAAAGCAAAAGGAATCAAAGATTGGTTCAGCCCTATCAAGTTGAAAGGGATAAAAATTGTACGTGGCTCAGCTGAAGCTATTGCTTTTGCAACATTTTTTAAAGAATCTGATGTGAAAAAGGCGCTGAAACGGAATGAACAATTTTTTGGTGGTTCCAAGGTTTTGCTTTTTTTAAAAAAATTTATTAATGTTTGCTTTCACCTCTACTGAAGAACATTTAATGCTCTGCTGATGATATAAAAAGCGCAAATCATGAGAGATAAAGAGCAGAATTTTTTCTTTGAGCTGGAAATAACAAAAGTATTGAGTAATCGAGTTTCTAAAGATGTGGAAGATTATGTTCACATGACAAGAGAAGCAGAAGTCGAAGCATCTGTAGCAAAGATTCTCGAAACTGGAAGGTTAATTTATTCTTGTTTATAGTATTACCTACACTGCGCGGACTGTTTATATCGTATATAATTATTACATTTATTTAAATATGAGTTTCCAGGCTCTTTGTCCGAAATCTACCCTATGTCTGCAGTGATGAAGACTTGCGATACCTATTTAAAAAGTATGGTGAAATATCTGATTTGCAAATGATTGTTAGCAAAAAAACGGGCTTATGTAAAGGGTTTGCGATCGTCACATATGTTTTTCCAGAATCTGCTGTTGCGGCATTCTCAGCATTAGATGGTTCCATTTTAAAGGTTGGTTCTGCACATTCTCTGAAATTCGGAGCTGTTATTAGTTGATTTGTGCTGTCCCATTTATTCATCTTCCTTCTCCTTATAGTTGAAATATTCTGTTCTCATTAACTTTTAGGGAAGAATGCTTCACATTTTACCTGGAGAAGAGAAGCGTGAGATGGAACAAATTGACATCACTGGTAAATCGGCATTTCAGAAAACAAAAGTTGCAAAATTAAAGGTATTTTTCTTGAAAGATTTTCACCAGCTAGCGTGTCGAATAGTTCGATAGAGTCATTTTATGATTCTCTAGAAAGAAGCTGGAAAATCTCATTCGTGGAATACATTGTTCCTTGGAGCTAATGCAGTTGCTGAAACGCTGGCTGAGAAACTGGACGTTGAAAAAAGTGATTTGCTGCTCGGACAAGGTGAAATAAGGTATATTTCTATTAACAGGAATTAAATTCTTAACTAATACTGCAACGGTGAATAAAGAATTTCTGAATTTCTGGATTATACTTATCAAAGAACTGAGAATCTGTTGATTCAATCCTGTAAATTACGTATTGTTGGGTGTTTATCGAAGCGAAATTGGTGGAAAATCAAATGATTATAAAACACCTTATTTTGCAATTAAAAAATTAAGGAGTTAAGCTTTGTCGGAATCTCTTACCTTTTTTGTAATTAATAGCGCTGGTGTACGTATGGCACTTGCTGAAACACGACTGGTTAGTGAAACTCGAGAATATCTGTTGGCGAATGGTATATGTCTGGATGTTTTTTCACGGCCTGCAACAAAAAGAAGTAATACGGTGATTATCATCAAAAATTTAACGACCAAGGTTGATACTGAGGAATTGAAACGAATGTTCGCAAGACATGGCCCCGTAAAACAGCTACTGATGCCTCCCGGTAAGCTAAAAGTAGTAAAAATAAGGTAACAAATTAAACGTTTTACTTTTTTTCATGGGAGAAATAATTTCTCTGGTATGAGAATGTAACTGATTACTATTTTGTAAAGGTTCTTTTAATAAAATACCGAGCTAATGATCTCGGTATTTTATGGTTATCTGGAATCATCTGATGTGATGGTGTCAACTGAAGTAATTTTGCGTCAAGCAGTTACTGGTTTTAGAATTTTCAGAAAGTTAATTTTTTTCAGAAATTTACTTTTCACACACTTGATTCAGATTTTAGATTCAAATATTTCTTAAAAATCTAGGTTACTTATAGGAGGTATCACTGCTATCTTGGAAATGGAAAATTCAGTTGATGCTCAGAAGGCATTTAACACGCTTGCATACACTCGATTTCGTTCGCAGCCGTTATTTCTTGAATGGGCACCGTACGATTTGTTTAAATTAGGTTCGTTGGTCTTTGATGTTTTTGATAATTTGTTATAGAACTAGTTCGTTTCAGAATA